TTTAGTAAATAAATTTTAATTTATTTATTTCTTGAAAAGGACAAACACGTCATTTTGGTTGTATTTATTTACGTAAAGGGAAAATTATAAATAAGTTGCCAGCAGAGCAGAGCAGAGCAGAGCAGAGTCCATTACTTCAGCACGGCGTACTCTCTGAAACTGCAATCAGTTTGTGTATTCTTCCTAACCAATTTTATTGACGATATGAGCAATATAATCGGAGAAGGGTTGAGAGAGTGTTTCGTTACGATCACACCTTTTAAAAAATTTAAATTATTTTAGATTTTAAATTTTTTTCATAATTATTTAATTTCATATCTCTTATATTTTTAATATAAATTCTTAAATTTACATCCTCTAATATATATTTTTGCGTCCGTCCATAAATATAATAATAAAGTTAGTTTTCAATATTCATACTTTTTTTTATTAATTTGACCCTTTTTATTTTCAAGTTAAATTTAATTTTCAATTTTTTTGAAAAACAATCATATTATTATTTTGTGAATAAAATGTCAATTAAAATATTGAACTTTTTACAATAGAATGATAATTCAAATGTAATTCATATTAATTTTAAAAAATAAATTATTTGTTGAAGTTATATATAAGATAGGCTTCATATACTTTTTACCCCTAACGCTTATTTGCTTTCTTAACTTTGTACCTAAGTTTTTTTTTCCTTCCAATAATTCGCTCTAAAATTTACACAAGTTACTCATTTTATAAAAAAACAAATATCAATCGCATTATGTAATGCCATTTCCCACCTTTTTTTTTCAACTTGATACTTTAAGTTTTTTAGTCAAAAGTGCCCTTAACATTTACAAAGGTTTCTCAAGTTACCCCTTTGGTCATTAAAAAATATATAAATGGTCCATCGACTATAAGAAGTTAGTTTGTTGAGTCTCTCTACTATTAAAAGTTATAAAATAGTTCTCCGACTATAAGATGTTGTTTTGTTGAGTCTCCCGATTATTAAAAGTTACAAAATTTTCACTTGGCTATTCATATGTTCCATACTCGTCATTTTCTGTTAAAAAATTGACGATCGTCTAAGCTTAATGTTAACCTCATAAATGAGATATGATAAAATCTGATCCCATAACCAATTGAACTGTATTTTATGGATCGACTCTCCATTTACATTATGTTGTCGATCCAATGCTTGAAATATTGTATCGCCGAGCCAGTACTTGAAATCGACAACAGTGCCAATATACATTATTAAAAATATGATTTTATCATAAATCAATCAACATGTTAATGTCCAATTCAGAAAACCATTAATTTTTAATAAAAAATTATGAGGTGAACAAATCTACATGGGAAACTTCAATTGTTGAGAAGTACTCTATAAAGGAAAGATCTTACTCAAACTTAGTTCTGGAAAAACTCTAGTTATGCATGATGTTTTGTATGTTCCTTCCCTACGTATAAATCTTATTAGTGGTGGAATCTTGAATAAGGTAGAAATTGAGTTAGTATTTTAATATGACAAGCTTATATGATGATTCTTTGAGGGAAGGGTATTTATGTGGGCTCTTTTAATTGAAACTGTAACTAATGTTATAAATAAGAAATCTACTCTTGATTATACCATTGAGATGTATGATATGTGGCAAGCTAGATTAGATCATGTAAACCTTCACTCTTTAAAAAGGCTAAAACAAATAAACATGCTTCCTATTCTAGACGAAAACAACTTTAATAAAAATGAAAATATGTGTTGAAGTAAAACATGCTAGACCTATATTCAAATCTGTCACTACTAGAAAAACTAAAGTTTTAGAGTTAGTGCATAGAGATTTAACTTACTTTAGAGACATAGAAAGTAAAGGTGGAAAAAGATACTATATTATCACTTTTATTGATGATTACTATAGATTTTCTGAAGTTTATATCTTGATATCTAAAGATGAAAAATGTAGTGTATAAAGAAGAAATAGAAAACCAACTTAATAAAAGAATAAAAAGAATTAAATCCAATAAAAGATTAGAACATATGACTAATCCTCATAAAATGTTAGCTTGTACCCATATGAGTTGTGGAAAAGTCGTACTCCTAATTTAAGTCATCTAAAAGTATGTGGTGCCTATGGGTTGCATGTTTTTAGAAAAAGAACACTATCAACTCTAAAACCATTGATGATGTGTTTATTGATTATGCTTTAAATAGTATTGCTTTTAGATTTATGCTCTTGCATGATTATTCGATATGTGAATCTAGAGATGAAATATTCTTTAAAAATATTTTCCTCATAAAAAAAACACTAATCATGACATGAAATTAGATGATAATGCTTATTCTTCTAAGAAAAGTTCTAGAGATAATCAAAATGATGATGAACCTAATAGGAGTAAAAGACAAAAGGTAACAACTAGTTTCAAACTTGACTTCTTTACTTCTTTCATAATTGATATTGATGATTTAGACTCCATTCATTTCGTCTAATCATAGTTGGGAGTCAGTATACTTATCTAAAAATTATAAACCTATCAGTAACAAATGAGTCTTTAGAAAGAAGTTAAGACTAGATGGAACTATACAAATGTATAAGACAAGACTAGTTGTAAAAGAGTTTACTCAAAAGATTGGGATTAATATTTTTATACATATTCTCCTATTACTAAAATCTCTATCATTTGTGATTTATTTGCTTTAGTTTCAATTCATTGCTTATTGATACATCAAATGAATGTGAAGATAATTTTTTGAATAGTGGTCTGGATGAGGAGATTTACATGGAGCTATCTCTAGGATTGGTGGCACCCAGAAAGAAAAATAAAGTCTGTGGACTCAAAAAATCCTTATATGGTATCAAACAAGCTCCAAAATAATGGTATGTGAAATTTCATAAAATTATTCTCAATTATGGTTTTATAGTTAATGGTGTTGATGCATGTATGTATTCCAAAGTATTTGAATTTGATTGTGTTATCATAAGTATGTATGTAGATGACTTATTAATTTTTAGTAGACATTTAAAACTCATTAAAGAGACTAAAGATTTCTTACCCACTAAGTTTGAAATGATTGTCTTGAAAAAATAAATGTAATTTTAAGGGGGGAAATGATTAAATCATATAAAGGATACTTGTTAAACTAGTTTCATTATATATATTAAAGTTTTGAAAAAAATTTAACAGTTCTGGTGTAATCCTTGTAAGTACGCTTATGATCCTAAAATTCAACTAAAAGGAATAATTAGAATTATATTTCACAATCTGAATATGCAAAGATAATTGGAAACCTAATATTATTAATGAATTATACTCGATATGATATTACCTATGTTGTTAGTAGGTCAAGTAGATATACTCACAATACTAGTAGTAGCATTGAAATACTCTTAATCGTTTACTTAGATACCCTAAAGGTATAATAATTGAGAACTTAAACTCGTTGGATATCCTGCAGTCCTTGAAGGACAGTGTGATATAAATTAGGTAACTGCCAATGATGCGACAAGTTTAACTAGTGTGTGTGTGTGTTTACTTTAGGTGAAGTAGCTATTTCTTGGAAGTCTATAAAGCAGACGTGTATTGCTCGCTCCACCATAAAATCGAAGTTTATTGCTCTTGGTTTAGGTGAGTAACAGGCTGAGTGTCTTAGGAATAACTTGCATAAATCTCTTTACGAGGGATACCTACACTTCCAGTATCATTATTATATGACTCGTAAGATGCAATCTGCGTTGTTAATAATCAAAACAATGGTAAGAAGAGATACATCTAGATAAGACAAGAATATATGAGACATGTTATAAAGAATGAATTATTCTCTTTAGAGTACATGAAATCTAAAATGAACATTGTCGATCCCTTAACTAAAGGTTATGTAAAAAAATGGTTATTGGTTCATCGAGAGGATAAGTTTTAAGCCTATTAGATAAGTAATTCATACCATACACTCTTTCCTATCCCTATGGCATATCATGTACACTTGAGAGGTTGAGTTTATACTCTTAATGAATCCATAGCCCGTGATTTGGGTGGTCCTAGTGAGATGGACTTGATGAATACATCAATTTATGAGGTTAAGTTTTACACCCTTAATGAATCCATAACCCATGACTTAAATGGTCTTAGTGAGACGGACTTGGTGAATACATAAATTTGTGAGGTTGAGTTTCCAACTCTTAACGAATTCATAGCTTGAGTCTTTGGATATTCCTAGTGAAACAGACTTGATGAGTTCATCGAATTTATAAATGAAAGGTTGAGCTTTGTAAAAGCTCTTAAAGATTTCATAACCCTAATTCAAGTGGTCTATATTAAGATAGACTTATTGAAATCACCTACTTAATATTTTATTATAAAATAATTGAATCTTTAAATGTTAATAGTTAAATTTAATTTTTTAAAATAAAGGCTAAAATAATAAATAAAAAAAAAGACCAAATTGATAAATATAGATATTAAAGAGTAGATTATTATTATATTTATAAAATAATAAATAAAAACCGCTCAATCTTTGAGCCCCACGTAGTTTTCATTAGTCCTCACTATAAATCTGGAGATATATACAAATGTGGAAAGCTACCCTTATCTTATGCAATGTTCAATACCTTTTTGTTGTCAGTAATCATCATTGATTGAAGCCAAAGCAAGAAACAAACTTAAATCCTTTTCTCATTGCATTTAAGTTTTATCATCTTCTTCTCTTTCTTCTATATATATTTTTCTCCATATATATACATCTTTCATACACAGCATACAAGTTATGGCTTCCCCTGCAGGTTTAGTTGTGTTGGGCTTATGTTTCCTGGTCTTGGTGGTCGAACCCGATGGAGCATATGGCTCGAGTCGTGGTTCGTTCGGCGGAATCATGGTGCAGCCGCTCCAGTAATCAATGGGATATGTGCCACCTCGGTGACTACCCATGGTTACCAGTGTCAGGAGCATGAAGTAAGTGCATCCAGTTAATTAATGCTAATTAAATGAGAGTGGAGGCAAATGGAAAATGGGTGTATTGATTTTCTTTTTTCCAGGTGAAAACCGAAGATGGATATATCTTAAACATGCAAAGAATCCCAGAGGGACGTGCAGGTGGAAGTGGCGGTGGAAAGAAGCAGCAGCCAGTACTGATACAGCATGGAGTCCTTGTGGTAAGTTCATCTTCACCATTTAGGAACATGATTCAAACCATTAGCATGTTTAAGTAGCCCCGTAAATGAACCGAACATTCAGCGAATTGTTCGTGAATCGTTCGGCGAGAAGTTCGTTTATGTTCGTTTATTTATTAAACGAACGAACATGAATAATATTTTGTGTCTGTTTAATTAAATGAACGAATATGAGCAGAGAGCTTGTTCGTTCATTTACGTTCGGTAATATGTTCGTTCATTTATGTTCGTTTATGTACGTTTATTTATGTTTAGCCCAATCTCTCTAGAACCATTTAAAATATTAAAGCCTAATAAATTTTAATATGATACCTATAAATATTTTAAAATTCAATTAATTTTAAATACAAATAAAAAGCTCAAACAATTAAATATAATATAATCTTAAAATTGTTAGGAAAGAAAAAAAATCTATTTTCATTTGTGTTCGTTTATGTTCGTTCGTTTATTGTGTTCGTTTATGTTCGTTTACATCCGTTCGTTTATGTTCATTCATTTGTGTTCATTTATCATTTAAATGAATGAATACGAACAAGCTACATTCATTAACGAACGAACACGAATAAGAAATTTTTCGTTCGTTTATGTTCGTGTTCTTTCATTTGTTCGGTTAAAGTTTAACGAACGAACATGAACATACCCCGTTCATGTTTGTTCGGTTGGTTTACAGACCTATGTTTAAGAAATAGAACCGATTGCCGATCGATTACAAGTGTGGCATGTTATTGTGGTTCACGAGACCCAAGAGATTGGCTAAATACTACTACACAACATAAAGCACCGTTTCAGGCTACCATTAAGTGGCCTAATTTCATGCAACTGATACTTTTGGTTTCAGGATGGGATGACGTGGCTCCTGAATTCACCTGCACAAAACCTGCCCATGATTTTGGCTGATAATGGCTTTGATGTCTGGATTGCTAACACCAGAGGCACTGGATTCTGCAGGCAGCATGTCTCCCTTGACCCTGCCCACCCGGTTCTTTTCCTCCCTATCACACATGTTTTGTCTCTTGATGCATAATGTGTGTGATTAACAGATTGTTAAAACTGAAACAAAAATGGCAGCAATTCTGGGACTGGTCATGGGATGAACTGGTGACTTATGATCTACCCGCTGTTTTCGAATCTGTGTTCAACCACACCGGCCAGAAGATTCATTACATCGGCCATTCCCTGGTAAGAAACTAAGAATTGAACTAATCCGGCTCGTACCAAGGACGTTGTTAATGCGTTATCATGTTCATTGCTGTTGACAGGGAACTCTTATAGGTTTGGCATCATTCTCAGAGGGACATCAGGTAGATAAGCTGAAATCTGCAGCCTTTTTAAGTCCAATCGCATACTTAAGCCATATGAAGACTGCACTCGGTGTGCTTGCTGCAAGAGCCTTTGTTGGTGAGGTATGTGTGTAAAACACTTAATCCTTAAAAAAGGGTACTAATATAGCTTAACCGATTTCAATGATTTTGCCAACAGATCACTACAATGTTTGGAATAGCAGAATTCAACCCTAAAGGGTGAGCAAAACCATTGTTACGTTTAAGGATGAACTTGGCATGTTACAAATGCTATCATCTAATGTTTGCTGTACATATATATTGACAGACAAGAGGCATCAGTCTTTCTCAAAGCTTTGTGTGATTATCCAGGAGTTGACTGCTACGATCTAGTATCTGCAATTACAGGTACCGCATCAATCTTACTGCTTGTATAGACTACAATTACAACCATTCGAATGTATAGTTCGAGTTGTAATCGAGTTTTGTTTCTTGTAATTCAAGGTAAAAATTGCTGCCTCAACGCTTCCACGGTTGATCTTTTCTTACAGAATGAGCCACAGTCAACAGCAACCAAAAACATGGTGCACTTAGCTCAGAGTAAGTCCTTGAGGAAACGAACCCAACTCTTGATATAAAGCAATCAAAAACCATGCGTGTTTAAGTCTGTTTGGTGATTTTGCAGCAGTCCGAGACGGGGTCATCAAGAAATTCGACTACGGGAGGCCGGACTATAACCTGATGCATTACGGAGAAGGCAGGCCGCCGGTTTACAACATCTCGAACATCCCTCGAGACCTTCCGATATTCGTTAGCTATGGAGGGCAAGACGCTCTGTCTGAAGTTTAAGATGTGGAGCTGTTGCTGGATCATCTCAAGTTCCATGATGTGAACAAGCTGTCGGTTCAGTACGTCAAGGATTATGCACATGCGGATTTCATAATGGGTATAAATGCCAAGGATATTGTGTACAATCAACTCCTCCAGTTCTTTAAATATCAGCAATGATCCCTCAACTCAGGCCTCGTTTTATGTAATATCAGCAATCTTGAGATAGCACTATAATAAATTGGACAAGATGATTAATGAACAAGACTCGCACAATTTGATGAAGAGGATTAACAAAAATATTATCCGAGATGAGATGTACTAATTAATCAAAGAGTTGACCAAATAAGATATAAGTATGGTAAATAAAAAATAATTAAAATAAGAAGATATTGTTATTGCATTGTGGTAGTTTATTATTTAGAAGTGAATTTGTTTTAATCGATGTAATTATTAAGTGAGCATTCCCTGATTTATACACTAGAAGAGAGTGTTAAAACTCAACTAATTATTTTTATGTTGAATGCTGGAAAATTGTCGAAAAAGGATCGAAGAATTATCAAACATCGATCAAGTAACAAAGGTTTAAGAGAAGAGAGCTGCTTAACAAAGGAAGAGGAGATGAAGACGCTTTTCATGAGTGATGAAGAATGAATGACAAGTGGGGGCATATCCAGAAGAAATCGAGAAAATATTCAAATTGATTATCCCAAATCTCGGTACAAATTACAATCGAAATTGGCTTCAGATTTCAGATAATTAGGGAATAAAAATAAAAATAATATTTATTATTTCAATATGAGAAATTTAAACGGACGGTTTCAAAAAAGTCAATGCACGATATGTATCCAAGGTACATGTTAATGCGAACACAAATCAATCCAGACGGACAACACGTGCATGTGTGAGCTGAGCCATAGCATTAACTACACTATTCAAAGTGATCAAGAATGTAAAACACTATAAAATGTTTGGGTAAACTATATCATTCATCATTGAACTTTACTCTCTCTTATTTCATTCACTGTACTTTCAATGTTTTCGATTTAATCACCAAACTTTCGAATTGCTCTTGTTTTAGTCCCTCTGAATCATTTTATTACTATTTTGATATGATGTGACATTTATTATTATTTATATAAAAATAATTTAAAATATAAAATCAAACTAGATGGTGGTTGTCCACTGTTTGTCGTCATTGGACGTCGCCGTTGATAGTCATAGATGGTGGTTGTTCGGTCACAGATTTTATTAGCCGCTTCGTCTTGATCCCCTGAGTTTGAATCCGATCAAAAGTGATGAAATGAAATGTCGGCTGCCGTAGATAGTGGTCGTTCAGTCCCAGATTTCATGGGTCGGTTCGCCTCAACCACCTGAGTTCGAACCGACCTCCATTTTATCGAAACATGCTCCGAAGTCCACGAATAAGAGATCGAAAGTGAATAAATATAAATGTTTTAGTGGAGATTCATGGGTTTTGGGACATTTTCTAGTAAAACAACCACCAGATTCGAACTCAACGTGTCAAAGCAAAAGTTCAATGAGTAATTGGAAAAATTAAAAGTATAGTGAGTGACATAGATAATGTAAAGTTCAATGATGATCGGTGTAGTTTACTCAAAATGCTTTACCAAAGTAATACCTAACTAATGTGATATACACAAGATTAAAAGCCACCCAAGAAGTATAATATAGCCAATAATATAATATTAATGAAATACAGCCAAAAGGAAACTAATGGATCATGACATATACTATATAAAATTGCTGTCCAAGTATTATAGTTTAAATGAATCAAATCAATAAGTTTGATTCTTTATTTTAATAATAATAGCATAATCTATTTTATATTCCAAATCAATCTTTACCGGGTTATGTATTAATTTTGTTTTTTCTTATATTATTTTCTTATTTTAATAATAATATCATTTGACACAGATCGCTCGTACCCGTGATATTATCGATGTCGGAACCGAAACCTCATAAAATAACAACATTTGTTTTACCACCTAAGTCACAAAGGTTGGTGTTTTTTTTTTCTCCTTATATTCTTTCAGCTCCAATAATGCTTTATTATGATATCACTAACTCCCCTCACAAAATTCAAGTGCCGATCCTCGAAACAACAACCTCTTCGCCTTAAAATTACATTAAAAATAAAGACCACATATTATGTTCTTGTAAATTATTTGAGGTAAATAGAAAATTTAATTGATTTGTTTGAACTAATTGTGACGAGCTTAAATTGATTTTTTATCAAATAAAAATACATAAAAAAACTACAACACTCTACAAGATTGAATCATGTTAAGGTCACACGTTAACATCAATTCAGAAAGAAAATAAAAGCTACAAGAATACATGAAAAATAAGTGAAAAGTGGAGAAAAAGGAAGAAAAAAAACTATTGTCGATGGAATTCAAAAAAGAATCATCACCGAAAAGGTCGAGGGTTTCTATGTCAGGAGATGAAGTTCTCCTCATCTGAGGGGCAGAGGTCATGCTCATCCAAATAAAACTTCGTGAACAACGAGGATCTTCAAGAAAAGTCAAAATACAAGAGGATATGCCACAAGGGCCATTCGAAAAAGCAGGTCGCAACTTACTAGAGCATCTTGATCTGTCGTTAAAAATTACGATATTGATTAAAAAAGATGACAAAAGTGGAAGGAGTAGAAACAAAAAGGTCATTCGTCGATCGAAAATAATAGGAGGGGACATCAACGAGGACCATCCGCTATGGCTCCAACATCAGTCACCACCATCTCTTATCAAACTAAAAAGAGAGAACTAGAAAAGGAAAACAAACCGAAAGGAAAAGAATTTTTTTTAAGCTTTCCATTAATCGTTATCATCGAAGGAGATCAAAGACCCATCACACAATGACTCTTAAGATGATCCAAAATATATTATAATATTAATGCACCAAATTTCTAAGTCAACGCATGAGGATTGACTCAAGAGACTTGTGGACCAATGTGAGTGGTGAGAATTGTTTGACCGAACATGTGTCTAATCAAATTCATTTGGGCCCGATTTGCCGTAAAAAAGGATTTTTTTAATGGAGATCAAATGTGGAAGGACTAAAATGACAATTAGGCCATTTTTGAAATATGGGTTGATTTTATGGAATTTGCTTTGGCTCACATGTGAGTTTTAAATGGGGTAAAAGTTTAAAAAGCTTTTTGCTCTTCCATTCACCATCTTCATCCTCATTTTCTTCACTATTTCTTCTTCAAGGTTTCACAATCAATATAAAATCTTTTGTATTTCTCAAAATTAAGTTTTGAGGTGCTTCTAATTGTATTTAAAAAAAACTTAATCAAATAATTTATTATGTATTCTTTCATTAAATTGATTGAAAATGTGAAATTGTAAAAAAAAAAAATCAGAGGCCACCCACCAAAGAAATATAATATAAGTTATCCAAATTAATAATGTAAATTTTTTAAAGATAGCCAAAGGGAACTAATGGATAATTTTAGTAAAAAAGAAGAAGAAAAAGAAAACTAATGGATAATGACGTATGCAATATAAAATTGTTGTCCTTCTATTACAGTTTATACGATCAAATCATGCATCCCAAGAAGTTTGATTCTTTTATCATGAAAAAGAGAGAGGAGAAGTTTGATTCTTTATTTTAATAATAAAATCGTGACTTATTTTATATTCTTAAAGCCCAAATCAATGTTTATGATGTTATGATTTAATTTGTTTTTTCTTATATTCTCTAAGCTCCAATCAGGCTTTATTGTGATATTACTAACTTCACTCAAAAAATTCAAGTGCTGATCCATGAAACAACAACCTCTTAGCCTTAAAATTATATGCGTCTAATTGAATTATGATCATCTTGAATTGATTTTTTTGTCAAATGAAAAATATATTTATTCAAATATAAAAAATAAATAAAAGAATTGTAATAATTTATTGGACAGAACTAGGTTAAGATCATGGATAAACATCAATTTAGAAAGAATTTAAGAAAACATAAAAAAAATACAAGGAAAATAAGTAAAAAGGTGGAGAAAAGGAAAAAAAACGACCTATTGTTCAATGAATTAAAAAAATTATTGAGAAGATTGAGAGATTTAATGCCAGTAAAATTTCAGTGAATAAGACTTCTCTCATCTAAAAAGTGGAGATCCTGGTCATAGAAAAAAACTTCATAAACAATGGAAGTTTTTTAAAAGAGTCAAAACACCAGAGGATATGTCACAAGGGTCAATTGAAAAAACATGTCGTTAACTTGTTGTGATATCTAAATCCGTCGTCGAAAATCACGATATTTGTTAAAGATGCATAACAAAAGTACAATAATTAAAGTAGAAGGAGCAGCAGCAAAAGGATCATATCGATCGAAAATAATTGGAGGGGACGACACCAAGGACCACCAGCTAGAGGCCCAACATCAATTACCATAATTGCTTATCAAACTGAAAAGAGAAAATAAACTGAAAGGAAAGGAGAGAAGAAGAGAAAGAAAAACTTTTTAAGCCTTTTATCAATTGTTATTAGTGAGGGAGGCTAAGACTCATCACACACAATGACCCTCAAGATGATCCGAAAGACACTCTTCCAGCTGATTGATAAAATCTATATATGCTCTCACAAACATTTCTAACAAAATACTTATTATAAAAGATAAATATTTCTCTCCTATAATTCTAAAGGTTACGACATGTTATCTATTTACAGAGTCAAATACTTGATCATCAATAATCTTTATTCAATAAGAATTCAGACCTAAATAAACTTACCAATTAATCTTCAACGAATCTAATTCTAATACAATTCAATTTAATTTCAATAAGAATTTGTGACATTTTATACTAAATTAACATACTTAATTAAACCTAATCGAGAGTGTGAATAGCTCAAATATTCGGATGAATTTATGGATGAAATTGAAATATTCAAAAGTTTGGGAATTAATTTAGAAAGAGGATCATAGTTTAGGGATGAAATTAGAATGATTAAAACTTTAAGGACTCATTTAGAAGGAGAGTCATAGTCTGTGGATAAAATTATAATATTCAAAAGTTTTAAGATCAATTTAAAATAAAAGTTATAATTTAAGTATATATGATACAATTAACTCAAATATTAACTACTAAACTTGACAGACTTACAAAGAA